CCCTGCAAAGACAAACATACGGAAGAAGGGAGATTCGAGTCATAAAAACAATTTTGAACTTCTGCCTTAAGACAGGGCTGCTGACAGGGAACAGGAGCAGTAACATGCACTTCAAGCTCTTTGAGTAACTCCCATGTCACTTTGATCACCCAACAGAAGCTTAAGTTAAGCACGGATGGTCTCATGACTCCAGGAGAGCTTACGGTGCTATTTGAGACAGATCTCTGGAGAAGAAAAACGTCTGCTCCACTGAGGAATATGTGCAATCCTCTTCATCTATGCCACATAAATCTGGAATTAAAGATGACGAAAAGTACATAATGTAAACCCTGCATCACTGTTGACATTAAAATAAGCTGCTGAACTGTTGAGAAAATAACAACCCTAAATTTAAAATTCAGTTGCCATATTGATGAATTACATTAATTTATGTGCATACATATCTCAAGAAACAATAGCAAAATCAGGAAAGAACAAAACAGAACAGTGATTATATAGGACCTCAGAGTATGCTGAGATCTACCTACCATAGACATTGGGTTTATTTATTCAAGAAATTGTTGTAATTTTCCTAGTATTTTAGCTCCTCTGTGTCAGACACTTCATACAGGAATAGTTTCTTAAGGTACAATGAGCCAGTGAAACTCTGGGAATAAAGAAAAGGAAGAGACCTGTATACATTCTGTATACATTGCACAGAACTCAGCTTGTTCCTGTAAGGAACAAAAATAGACAACTTCTACTATAAATCTCTGCATTCTTCCAGGTTTTCTATGAGACGTGTCCACAGACATCCTCAGGATGTCATTGAAGGATGTCTTACAGATCTCTGAGCAGACTGGGATTTTTCAATTTTGTTAAAAAAAAAAAATAAAGCAACACAGTGAATCTCTACTTTCTACTGAAAATTTAGCTAGAAACTTCAATACTTATAAAGATTTTGTCAGATTCTATGAAAAGTTCTCTCCTTAAATTAAATGTCGCATTGGGTCTGATTTAGATGAAGTTTATTTTCTCACAGCAGCCCAGTGTTGTTCTTTGTGTTTCCACAGCAGCACAGTGTTGTGCTTTGTGTTGGTAGCCAGAAAAGCGTTTATAACTCACCAGTGCTTTGGCTACTGCCAAGCAGTGCTGGCACCGCCATTGCCTCTCAACATTCCCCCTCTATCAAGGGTCTGGGAGAGGCAAGATCTTGGGACAAGATGCGACCATGCCAGCTGACCCAAATTACCCAAAGGGATATTCCTTACTATATGATATCACTCAGATACAAAAGCTAAGGAAAGGACAGAGTAGGGGAAAGGACAGAGTATCTACAACACATGCCTTCCAGAGCAACCATTGGCACATGAAGCCCCAGTTGCCAGGAAGTTGCTGACCATCGCTGGCTGCCAGGAAAAAAAAAATTTCTTTATCTCTTTGCTTATGTGCACACAAACTTTTGCTTTTTCTTTAGTAAATTGCTTTATCTCAACCTACAGGTTGTTTTCCATCTCATTTTCTCTCCACTGTCCCACAGGAAAGGGGAGTGATGGAATGGCTTGGCGAGCACCTGGTGCCCAGCCAAGGTCAACCCATCAAAAATGTCTATAGAAAAGAAGGAGACCATTAAATAAAAAAATAGCAGTAACAGCCTAACATCATGAGGTGTTTGGCATTCCCTGGTGTCTTCTTTCACAGATGGATTATTAGAATAGCAAGACATTCTTGAGGGGTGCTCAGTAACTTCTTTTATATTAATAGATGATAGCTTCTCAAGTTCATGAAGTTTCTAGTAACACTATAGACCACTGGCAATCGAAGAGAAGAAAAGCTTTGTGGAAAAGACTGGCTAAAAAAGGTGAGAAGAACACAGCTATCACAAAGAAGCCAATTTTCATGATTTATTTTAGCTCATGCTTAAAAAATAGCACTAAATTACAGAGCAGAATAAACTACATCCCAAAAGGTAGCTTTGCAGAAAGACATAAACCATGGCTCAATAGTGCAGTTTTAGTGACACAAGATATTGTAAAACTCTGTCAAGTGGGAAACACCACTACTTAAGACTAAGAAAATGTCTGGAGAGATGATTTCTATCAGGAGTCCTTTTATAGATAGGAAATTCAGAAATTACAAAGCAATGTAATGTAATGTTCTATGGGCTCAGTCCAGCACACTCTGAGGTTTCTTTGCCATACATGAACTGAAACTCAAGCTTCATTAGAGAAGTTCAGGAACTACTCCTAAGGCACATCACTGTAATGATTGCCCAGAAAATAAAAATAAGGATATTGCTGATTTTAAGTGTTTCTCTTGACATAAAATATTGCACCAAGCTGTGATTTAGAATATATGGGGCAGAGCTCCAAATCTGCAAAGTTTACCACTTGCTTAACTTCGGGTTACAATTGTTGGTATAGGACAACCGTGCTTCAGTAAAGGCAATACCTTCCAACACATTTCCATCCACTTCACAAAGTGTTTCAACCATATTTTTGTCTTGGCAGAAATTAAGATGGACTGCCTTATTATTTTTATTTTGTACATTGCCAAAGGCTTATTGATAGTTGATGGGCCCTGTTTAAAAAAAAATGTCAAGATGAGGCATTTTATAAAGTCAGTAAAGTTACTATTAAAGTCAGTTATTATTAAAATATATTATTATTATTATTATTATTATTATTATTATTATTATTATTATTATTATTATTACAAAAGAAGAAGAAAAAGAAACATGAATATGATAGGATTTTTAAAATATTGGTGAAATAATTTAAGGCAGCTTTTGATACTGTAGCTTTAACTATGTTCAGTGCTATCAGATCTGCTATTTTCTTTTTTTCTTCTATTTTTTTTTTTTCGCACTTCTTTGTGACATATCAGCAGAGGCTCTCATACTCAATGGGTCCAATTTAGCATCTTGACATAGGTGACAGCCTAGTTCCTAACCATACTAAGTCACAATAAATCACATGTAATCATGTTAAATTCCTTTCTCTTCAAGACAGTTTAGTTTGCAAGGCACAGCTGTAGAAGGATGGATCACAAAACCATGGCTAAAATGGAACTACATCTTCCTTTCACACCATAATTTGACCTGAAGGAAGGGTCTTCCAGAAATGGCATTTTTTACTATGGAGGATCCTCAACTTGAATATAGATGAGTTGAATATAGGGCTTTAATGGAATTGTAAGGAAAGTGGAAGCAGGCCACAGCAATAAGTGTAGGGCACCTGCCTGTAGAGGATGAAAATTTCACCCTCAATCATTCCTCCAAGCCAGAGTAATTGTGGCACATAACAAAAGGTGACAGACAAAGACTGTAGGAAACACATGCCGGCTTCAAAGAGAAGGGAAGGGAATAATTACAGACCCGTGAGACAGTCTGATGTTTGTCCAGTTCCTTTTCAGAGTGAAGCCTTAATCACAAAAAGCACTATTTTTAGGAGCTTCTGAAGCACGGTGACTGCAAAGGCTTCAATAAGATAAAGGAAACAGTGCCACCTAACTGTGGAAACTGTAGGGGTTTTTTAACTCATTAAAGCTGAATGAACAGATATTTTGCATTTTAAAGCGTGGAGGAAGGTAGTTCTTTGTGGAGAAATCCTGCCTGAAATTTAAAATCCTGCAATTACTAGTACCTGCCTTAAAATGTCATTACTGGGAAAATCCAGTTTTCAGGAAGAAAAGTCATCTTGACTGCACTGCATATGTTAAAAATCTGTGTGTTTTCGTTTGAAGGCACCTAATAGGTACAGGACCCATACTTAATTGAGGAGACCATACAGGACCTGAATTTTCACTTTATATACAATTATTACTCCCTTTCAAACACAATATATGTATGAATATGAATACACAAACGTGCACATTTGCTTTTTCTTTCTTTCCATCAGAAATTGTTTTCTAAATCATCACTTTTTATTCTGTGTTAGAAAAAGCAAAGCATGTTGTGAATAATTGCCACAGAAGTTCCTCAACTGAGAACAGAATGGGAGTTTTATGAAACTTTTCACCTAAATGAATGAATGTATTTTGCAGTGCCAGGATAATTGATCCTTAGGCAAGTATTGTCAGTGTAAATGCCTATCCAGATCTGAATTATACATGTGTAGGCTCATAGCTGAGTTTCCAAAATCATCCTCACCACAAGTACCTGTGCAAAAACTACACACAGAATTTCTGAAGCTGCTACAACTGTCCAAGTGTCTGCATGAAAAAAAATGAAGAGGAAATACTTTAAAAAATTAGTCAGGATGTAAGCCATACAGTTCAGTGAACATCATAGATGCTAAACTGTTATCATATAAACCTGTTTATTTGCAATGAAAATAATGTTTATGCTTGGTTTTGATGTATCTATTATAAATTCAAATGTACATATTTTGAGTAAGTTGTTTTCTAGTTGCAACAAAAAAAAAACATTTGACATGGTGGGCCCTGGAGTTTGCACATGTGTTTGTTCTGAAGACGAAAACCCATCATCTCTTTCTTGGCATCTTATTCTTGTACCTTCTTTGAATCTATTGCTTATCTTACACTTACATTACTTCACATTACAAATCTCTCATAAAGAAAAGGGTTGAAAATGTGAAGCAAAATGTCCATCAGCCAAAAACAAAATTTAATTTTTTTTGAGAACAAGAAAACAGTGTGCTCTCAGGCATGGGATTTTTAGCTACTTGTTTTGATGTTTCCATTTTTAAAATCTCAGTGTTGTTTTGCATGATTTTGCCTAACAATAAGCTTGGCTGACTAACAGTGTTATAGATGAGAATCTCTTTACTTCAAAGACTAGAATTAATCTGACATTTTCAACTAACACTGAAGTATTCAGAAAGCCAGTGTTGCATATTCCAACACAATAAAAAGAATCACACTTGAGTCTGATGCTAAATATGAGATATCATTCCCACATTTGACATTTGATATAGGCTCTCCACCAGTACAGAAATATGCAGTTATTTCCCTTTGAACTTTTTAGCTTTTTGGGGTTTTTTTGTTTTTTGTTTTGTTTTTTTGGGGGTTTTTTTATGTTTTTAGGAAAACACCAGTAAAATATTTCAGTAAGTGCTAATATGTCTACGTGATCCTTGTTGAAATTTTCTCTCACTTTTCACTTTAGAAGTATGCTGGGAATAATGCAAACACACAATTCTGGGGCTTGATCTCTAAAGGATTACATGTATCTCAACATCTAGGAGAACTTTCAATTCATTTCTGCAATATGAATGCCACTAATAGAAGCCTGCCTGTTTTAGGGCTGTGTACTTTGAGTATGAAATATCCATATCTAAGAAAAGAGAAAATTGTGGCTGTGTAAACAAAATTCATAATATCTTCAACTGCCTGGGAAAGAGATCTCATTATCTCTCAGATAAACTAAGCTGAAAAGACAGCAAATGTTGCTCTTTCAAGTTTCTTTCATTAAGTATTAGGTGTTAGCTACACTATTAATGTACACACAGAAAAATGTTCCCTTGGATTAGAATTTAGTTTATTGTTTTCTGTCTTCAGTTAATAAGTTGGGAAAATGCAGTCAACCCCAGTTTATACTCCAGTAAGTGCCACTCAGCAGGTGATTAGTAATTTTATTGGATATCACTTCTTTTTCTTGCATTTTATTCCTTTCCTCTCTCCTACCTCTTTTCATTGCTATTACTATTGTTTTAAATAGCACTATTCTCATTAGTATAATTAAAATCATTTGTAGTAAATTTTATGTTGCTTCTGTTATTAAACTGTTCATTCCTGAGTTTTAATTTTTTTTCCCAGTTCTTCTCTCCATTCCACCTGGCTGGGGGGTGGGAGTGAGTGGCTGTATGAGAGTGATCTCAGGTGCTGGCTGGGGTTAAAATATGAGTGTCCTTTTGAGCACCCAATATGAGGCTGCTTCAGCACGCAACACCTACTCTGGTGAATTCCAAAAAACTTTCCTTCTGGCCAGTCCATTATCACTTCCAAGGTTCCTGGGTGACTAGGATTTCTTATTCAAGCTTGTGTGATCAGTGTGACCCACTTGCTCTGTGTGCAGTGTGCAGAGGAGGCCCTTTCACCATCCAGCCCAGCACCAGCAGCTGCTGTGCCAGGAGAAGCTGTGCTTGCATGGCCTGAGTCTTTGGTGAAGGAGCATCTAATGTGACATATCTTCAAAATCAGGATTTCCACCCCAGGCAGCAATATCTTACCACAATGGGTTTACCTCTGCCCTGCCAGTTACCCTGATTCCATTTCTATTGCGTCCCTCACAGGTCATTTGTCACCATCTGTGAGTCAACAGAGAGGTAAGGTATTCCTCATTTTTCTAATTCAGCATGTAATTCAGATTTTTGCTATTTCAAAAGTAAAATTAAATAAATAAGTATTCCATTTGTCTAATTTTAATGATAATTTTCTCATTAAGATAAAATGGGAAAAAAATTACCATTTTATTTAATTTCTGTATTAGGTGTTAGCTTCGCTATTAAGGGGCAGAAAGAAAAATCTACCCTTGGGCTAATATTTATTTTATTGCTCCTCTTATTTGGTGACAAACTGGAAAAATGCAGCAAAAACCAGTTTATGCTGAAGTGCAGCAAGTAGTGAAGCATGCAGTATTTTAAGAAAATATGATACAAATGCCCAAATGTATCACATATCACACAAGGATGTTAGAATATCACACTGCTCTTCCATCTTGCTCTCACACTTTCAGTCCCTGATTTTCCCTACCTCTGCATGCACAAACACTCACATACACAGATCTATTCAAATGCAGCATAACAAAAGCAATTACAAGAAACAGAAGTGATTGTCACATTCCTGAAAAAGGATTCTTAAAAAATATTGCATGTCTTTTATATTCATACATACACACAGAGGTGGGTTCACTCTTAACACTTTCTTACCTCAAGTTCTTGATATCTTTAGATTGGTCTCTTTCATCTTTCAAAAATCAAGTCCTTCTATATCTAGTGTTTGCATTGAGAAACAAATCAGTCGTGTCTCATTTTTTCTTAAAATAGGCTTTCTAACTAGGAATAACAATCTGCACATATATTTCTGCGGCAAAATAATAATAAAAAAGTTGCATTCTGTAAAATTAAAATTTGAACACCACTAGTCCAAATTAATTGGTTAAGGAAAGATTTCTTTAGGCTCTTCTACTTCCAAAATCATGCGCAAATTTTCAGTCAGAATCAGATCTGAGTTTGAATAAAACAGTAAAGAAGGGAAGAGGAAAGAAATTTCCACACAAGAGACACAGTACCTGTCATCATTGCAATCATTTGAACTGATTTAGCAGGAAGCTGAAATCATGGCTTGTATCTGTAGAGTCCTTGGCATATCCTCAAATCTGTCCAAAAAATAAATTGATACCCTGGACATGTATACTTATGCTTTTTACCTTGACTAGCAGAACAGATTTGTTGTGCAATGGAGTACAGATATGCTCTTTAATGATAGATACTGACAGCCTGAAACAAGAAGGATTTTACTTTAATGTAATTGATTTCAGTGCAATTACCCTGATAATTTGTTGTTGTTGTTATTTAAAATAAAAAATATTTATATATGATTTATATTATAAATAACACAGAGACTCAGAATTCCCTGTGTGCAAGATTTAGGCACACAGTGTCTGCTAGGCTAAAGCTTGGATGTTGAGATTGCACAGTGAAGATATTTACACTATATATTTTCTGCTGATAGCTCTATAAAAGTTCCTGATGCATTACAAATGCTGCTGTTGGAAAGAGGAGCAGTCTACTGGTCAGATCCCAAGAGATTCGTAGAACTTGCTATATTTTAATGGGAGTCAGTAGGACACAGGTATCCTGCAAATGCTTATTATCACTCAGGCTGTGTACCAAATTGAAGACAAGATACAACAAGAAATGCTGACTGATGCAGGCAAAAAGGAAGATGAAAAGCAGAACAAAAGATTTCCCTGGAGGTAGTAAAATAGATATGGGAAAATCTGTGTCAGTGTCTAGGACTGGAACCTGCTATCTGTCCAGTGAAATGATCAGAAAGGCAGCTGAACTTTGTCTTAAAGGACTTCCTGTGTGGAAATTAAACCAGTGGGTGAAATTTCAGATAGCCAGACCGCTGGGGGAAAGTCAAAGGTTCTCATGCTCTATCTGTTCTTGCTTCCAAAATTGTCCTGTGGGTGGTAAGCAGCTGGAAGTGAGTTACACCAGTCCAAAACTATTCTCACTCATTATTTAGAGCTGGAGAGCTGTGAAGATGGGAGTTCAGCTGCATTATCTCTTCTCACCCTCCAACCACCTGCTACGATTTCAGCTTTGTTGGTCCTAAGGGTGACTGACACTGAATGCACTAGTGACACAGCCTGGCTTCAAGAGGAGCCGTAGGCTGAAATTGTATCCCTTGTCAAACAAGCCATCATTGAGATCAAGAGGCTGAATGTGGGACACAGAATTGGGCAGGAGCTATAAGGGTGGGTAAAGAGCTGCCCAGAGCTATCCAAGTGTTACTCCAGGGCCTGTGGAGAGGTCATCTCATTCAAAAAAGCACTCAGGAGAAGAGTTCCTCTTGTCTTTGCTATGGTTATCATAGAAATCATCAGGAATTTTAAGAATTACAATCTTTCCTAACCTTTCTGTCCACTGCTTACTTGTATGTATACATCTCTTAAATTAAAGCTTGCCTTCCTGCCTTCCCTTCTATTTTATCAAGTGTTTTTGCAGTTCTGTATTTCCAGGACATCTGAATGACAGCTGAAGTAACTTGCATTTTCCCAAGTCTCTGCCACATCACCTCACATGGACACTATTTCAGCATGAGGTGATGCCAATATTTATCTCACTTTTATATGTAAAGATGAGATCTCTAGAGCTTTAATTTTTCTGTTAGAACTGCTGGGCTGCCTCTGTTTCTTTTGTGTTTGTTTTTCATGCAGTGACCAAAATTCTGTATAGGCTACTCATTTCAAAAATATGCCAATGATTTCCATAATGGCACTGCCTTTACTGCTGTCTGTGCTTCTCTTTATGCAGCTCACTAATGGCTTAATAATACAGCCTACTATTCTCTCCAGCAGATCTCTGAATATACAAAGACAGGCTATTAGAGATTTTCAGCAATTTTTGAAAACTAATTTTCATTTAAACTAATCAAATTCAAAGTTGCTCCTCAGCATACCCTGAATTACACATTTCAAACAGAGTTTCCCTGGCCATTTAGTCAGGGTTCATTTATTAATTTGGTAGAACCAAATGGCAAAGAGCACAGCTCTCCTTGCTGGTCAGTTATTTGTCTCGTGCCTACAGGAGGAGTCAGGAGTCTGAGGTTACAGCCTGACAACCAAAATACTTAAACCCTGAATAATTTGGCATGCCCTCCCATAAAGCCATTCAGTTTTTTTTCCTTCTGTTAGAGTTATTGCCTCAACTGCAGAGAATAACATTATTGATAAAACCAGGGAAGAATTAAATGCTATACTCTGATATTCAACATGAAAATGTGTTGACAAATGCATGCCTTAAAATGCCATCAACTATTAAAGTGCATATTAAGATTCATTTTATTTTAGATAGAAAACACTATGCATTTTTAACAATTACTTGCATTAATACCATTTTATTGACTGTTTAGATTCATGAATAAAAGTGAGGTTCTTGGAGAACACTTTTAAATATGCTACCTACTCCTTCAGCATTTGTGGCAGAAGAACATTTCATAATGCTTAGGCCTTTTGGAAACTTCTCCATAAAACTCACAATATAAGCAAGAAAGAAATGCTAATTCTTTTGAAGTTTTATCATGGACTTCAATTAATTCAAGATTCATTTCTTATGTGACTGCCATTTAAAAAATTTCTTACAGATCCATATCCCCAAAATTATATAGCAGGGCTAATTTGGTTAAAGAACAGTTAAACAGGTTAAAGAACTGCTCTCAACTACATTAATTTGTATTTCAGAACCTTGCTCAAATCAAAGCTACCCTTGCTGTAAAACTTGTCAGCCATCTCCATGCCTACCCTAAGGTCCTTTTAAAAATCGTGGAACAGTGACGAGCAATGTTCAAATGGTCACAGTACTACTATACCCTCACACTTCAGTTTTGTGTCATCAGAGGATACTTTGAGCGTGAACAGATTTTTGTAAAGCAGCCATCTTTCATAGAATATTTAACTTCCCATTTCATTCAATGCCTCTATGTTAACAGAAGCTTAAAATATTAATGTTACTCTTCAAAGATGGCTAGCTTTTATGCACAACACTTTTCCTATAAGCTTTATAAAAAAATTAGCACAGCTACAGCTTGTTAATACATCTGGCACAAAGCATGGATACTTGGAATTATTTGGCTTTTTGGCAGCAAAGTGCCAGTAATACCCTAAGACTGGTTTGGTAGCCTTGTGATTATCACCCCATGATACCTGTTAGACTTTTTTTCTACTTAGCAGGTCAGCAACTGGTGAAAATACTACAGACAATATTTTTCCAGAATGCAGTTGGCTATCAAGATGGATTCACTGAGATAAAAGCTCCTAACAATTCTCTTTTGGCTAAAAAGAAATTAATGCTGCTTAAAGGTTTGTAAAGAAAGAGAAAAGCAGGGAACTGTGTGGTCTGTGCTTTTTCCAGAGGCAGTTATTTAGTGCTGGAAGGTGAAGAGTCAGTATTGGCCTGTATTTTGTAATACCATGGTAGTATTTGTACCAGTGTACTCTTCTTTCCACAGTGCAGCATTCACAAACAAAGTCTTGTTTGAAGATACAGACATTAGTCAGACTCTCCATGATTTAATGCAAGCTTGTTGCATACAGAGTAGGATGGTTTTTTGAGGCTCACACACTGGACCCACACAGATTTTACTGTTTACTCTCATGTTTTCACATATGCCAACAAGTACTTGGGCTAAATGCGTGTCTTCTCCACATGTACAGAAACACATGCCCTTGTCATGTGCACCTGTGACTGAGACCTCATGGAAAGAGCCAGACAAACACTCAAGTATATGCTTGAAAATCAGTCTGCTTTTCTGCAGGCTTATTGTCCCTTTTTCCTGAGTTCCAAATAAAAAAACCTTTAGAAATTTCACTGTGACAGTAGAACCCCTTTATCTGTAAAACTGCTCCATTTAATCTTAAAGCTGTGATTGTGAGTGCAAGACTGTTCATTTTCTGGAGAAGTAAAAGATTTCTGCTTCTTTTGAAAGTATTTTCTTTCCGTTTTTTTTTTTTTTTTTGGTCTGTAAAATGAAATGCCATGTTACATTGTCAGATGAATGAATTCTGATTACTGTATTTATATCAAAGCTGTCTACAATT